TCGCGCTCAGCTGTTCGAGACTTGCGCCCAAGGATAAGATTCAGAACGCCCAAAACATGGCTTTCTTCGCCTTGGAAGTGATGGCGAACCCTGAGAGTGGCGCACCGCCCGGTGGTTCTTGCACCATCATGAAGAGAGACAGTCCTGACATGCTTCTGGGAGGACCGGAGGACCTCATGGCCAGGTCTGGGTACAGCCCGAGGGACGAGTATGAAGCTTTCCTTCGTAGACAAGCTGGGCCGGCCTCGACGTTGAGCTCAATGAGGAGAAATGCCACGAGCTCTCGCCCACCCACCCGCTCGACTTCAAGAAGACCAAGCGGTGAGGCAACGCCCTCTGGACCTGTCGACGACGTCCCCGCGACCGGTTCTCGTCCTGCTACCAACAAGCCTGCAACGCCCTCCCGCTCGGCAAGCGAGAAGCCAGCCACGCCATCTGGGTCTGCAAGCAAGCCTCCAGGAACGCCTTCTCGACCTGCGACTGACAAGCCTGCAACGCCTTCTCGTTCCGCAAGCAACGCTCCGGGAACTCCTTCGCGGCCCGCGACCAACAACCCAGCGACACCCTCTCGTCCAGCGAGCAGCGGCCCTGCTGGCACGCCCTCCCGCCCGGCGGGCGACGCCCCCGTCTTCACCACCCGGCCGCCAGCTTCCCTGGTGTCCTCCTCGGGCGTGTCTTACTCCATCTATTACTCCACCGCGCCGCCTACCACGGACGACGGCGGAGTACCCATCATTCCCATCGTGCCTGTTCCCGTCCCCATTGCCCCGGTTGTTCCTCCCGTTGTTCCTCCCGTTGGCGGCGGTGGTGGCGGCGGAGGCAACGATAATCCCGGGAACAACCCCACCAACCCGGCCGAGCCCTCCGCCCAGCCCTCCGCCCAGCCGACTTCGGCCCCACCGACCTCCGAGCCGGAGGTCCCGCCCACTTCGGCCCCTCCATCCTCAGCCCCTCCATCATCTTCGCGACCCGCCTCGTCAGCTACGCCTTGCTCGTCGAAGGCACCTCCCCCCGCCGTTCCCACGGGAGGTGGCACGCCCGGCGACCGGGACGGCTTCCCCCAGGCCGTCTATGATAATCTCAAGAAGAAGGCAGCCCCTACCACGGCACCACCGGCCACCAGCACCGTGCCCCCTCCTCCCCCGCCGACGAGCAGTGACAGCTCCATCCTCGAGACAGCCGGTCCCTTGCCTTCTGCGACGGCTGCTCCCGTTCAGCCGGTGGCTTGTTACAACTTCAATGTTAATGCGTACGGATACTGCTGCCGTGGACCTGATAGTCCGTGCGAGAAGGATCTTGGCACGTGCTACTACGGAGGAACTGGTGTTACCGGAGGTGCGACCAATGTGGTGCCTGATGGCGCTACTTGCCCGCCTCCCGCGGACGCCAAGTCTTAGGTATTACATTGGAGAAGGGGATAGACGGGTTAAGGGACTGAGGGTAACGGCAGGTGCCGTCGATTATGATATTCGTGTATTTTTATGAGCAACTATTAGGTGCAGAATATGGAGACGACACTTCCAATTTCAGAAACATTAGTAACGCATCGTTGCTTATTGACCATAGTGCTGAGTCAAATTCTTGTGCCACCTTTTGGTGCATGTTCTGGGGCTTTGATGCATGGAGTAATATACCAGATTCGCATCCGTTGGTTTTGTTGAGGTATTTTTTTGAGATGTTCGTAGATGTTCGGAAATTGCCTTGCTGAATTAAATGCTGATTGAAGTCGCGTCGGAGCAGTGCCTTTACCAGTGGACACCTGATGAACAGGAGCCTGGCCCAGTTCAGTTGAATGCTTATATCCTGGGCCATCACTTGCGGTCGGTGAGCTGACAAAAGGAATCTCACGTGAGAAGGGGAACATTAAACTGGCATGGTAGCTAGGAGGTTATCCAGGACAAGGACATGGGCGCTATGACATTCATTGAAGTATGCACATTGATGATGGTTTATCCTGGACATTCAATACTTATCTATCTTGGAAACTTTTGTTTTCGACTTCAATGGGTATACTTCGTAGTGCTACGTCCATCGTTGATTACCTGTCAATCGGCCATCGTTTATGTTATTTCTTCCCGCCGTCGTCTTGGGATGGCTTAGCCTTCGCATCCTTCAACATCGCGTCCACATGAGACCAGGGCAGATTAGAATCGAGATACAGGGCCAGTATATCTTTGAACTCCCCATCAATGTTTGCTTTAGCTGTCGTGATCTTTGTATCCCAACCTTTGGTGTTGGCTACAGTGGTGTCGGGATGCTCCTGGCAGGGTTGGGCCTGGAACCTGCGGTAAGACACTGGTGTTAGAGACGGACTCTACCCCAGTCTACGAAACCTATGACTGCCCATTGGGGCTTCATATTGCAACTTACTGGTCTGGAAATTGGGACCCCATTTTGGAGACGGTGATATTTGGCAATGACATCTCCAAGGTAGGTATTAATGTCTCGCGGATCGGGGTCTAAGAAAAATTGGGCTCGTGACTTGAGGATACTTGAGGTTGTTGTATGGAGGAGTTGTCCAAAAACCCAACCCATTTCTCTGTGGACCGCTAGCGCCTCTTATATTTTTCATAGTCGTTGCCTTCTTGCTACAATTTCGCGGGATATTTAGCCAGCTCCTGCGACGAATCTCTGGTTCTGGATCCGTCAAATTCGAGGGATTGCGAAGGCCTCTCTTCCGCAGAAGTGAAAATGACCGCATGCCAGGTCGGGTTCAAGAGAGGGGAGGGTTGCCACGGATCGCGATTGGCCAAGCTGGCTTTGGAGCAAGTGCGGCCATGGAAGTGTAGGGTTGCCTCATGCAGCAATTGGCTAAGGGCTCAATAACGTGTATCCACAAATGCTCTTACCCCTATTGAAAATAATGCACACTCCTGGCGGGGATATCCACAAATGCTCTTACCCCTGTAGAAAACAATGCACACTCCTACAGTAACTACACTTTGAACATCAGAGTTGCGTCTTGGCGACACTCGAGCATGTTTGTCATCTAGAGAGTACGTCGGGCGCTTTCGTCAGAGCCTCGTCTCATCTGAGAAAATGCCAAAGTCTGAAGTCGCAAGGGCAGGAATGAGACCTGTGTTGGAAAGGTCAGGATGGGGCTATTGGTCAAGAGTTATGTGTTTTCAAATGAGAGATCGGCTTGTAAGTACACAATTTGAAGTCACTGGATGAGAACTCAATTATGAAGATGTCGACTCAAGTAAACGTAGATTGGTGACATGATAATATTGCACGCATTGATTAGCCATATCGCGAAGTTTCCAAACTTTTATGAAGACTGCCGACGTAAGAATGCGCAGTAGAATTATCTCCCACCTTCAGTAATATGCAAGGGCCGTCATTCATCTCAGTCCCTCGAGACGCCCTCCCGGGAGGATTTCCCTTAGTCTTATTCTTCGCCCAATACGACTTGGCTTGCACAGCTTATCATTTATGTGACCAATTTCCGTTCCGACCTACTGACGATATGCTGTCATGGGCTGGAAGAGTTCGATGTATGTCTGTGTGGAGTACAATTCATAGTTTCTTCGACTTGCTGTGCTGACTTCGGCCTGGTGTACGTGAAGTATGGTGTGGACTGCCCAAGTTCAAAACGAACGTAAGCAGCTGAGAGCGCAGACAATTAGCTCTTGCCAGATGGAATCAATTCTCATTTGTTTTATGAGTATAGTTAACTTTTATGTTTGGAGTACAGGCGAATGGGCCGGTCTTGCTGCCTGTTCGAAACCACCCGGCATATTTGGTCTATTCAAAACTAGCTAGCTAAGAAACGGTCGTGACTCGGTAGGACTCCTTGCATTAACGTGAGATAAAGTAGTCGATCAGGGCTTCATGCGTCACAGCCTCTAATGGAAGGAGACCATATGAATCTTTAGCTAAAATTGCGCACATTGAGAAACGGGGCATTCGGGTACGTTCAAAGAAGGATGACTGCCTCAAGTGCAGTCCTCCCGTGGCAGTTTCCAATTTCTGTGTATGTCGTAGAACTGTTTGCTGCGCTTACCACTCATGTAAGTGACTTGATGATCGGGATAATGGGTCAACGGATGAAAGCAGTTGATGTAAGCACCCATGCCAGGAAAAGGCGGATCGTTGCTGCGTCAGAGAAAGAAGCCGTGCACTAAAGCGGTGTTGCTGCAGAAAAGATGGAAATGAAAGTTTTCCGCCCAAAGCAAGCTCTGAACGGCACCAGCATCTGACACAAGGCAAAGTCGTTGCCGCCCGCAACCATTATCGGAGGCATCTACAGAAGACCAATCTTGCAGTCAGCACATTCGCAATGATCTGTCACCAGTTCCCATGTGAGGCTGCGTTTATTCAGCCTTGATTGCTGTGATGAGAAGCTGCGAGGTGGATTGACGGTAGGCAAGCTTTGAGCAAAAGGCGAGCACGGCCCCTGAAGCACCCCTAATCATGTTGAAATTGACGGTGTAAAGCAGCTTTCTCGCTTGTGCTTCATCCCCGCGGACGAAACCATAGCGCGACACAGCATATTGTCGGATTCTTTTAGCAAGACCTTTGGTTCCAGGTGCTTTTCATTCCACCTGTCCCCTGCAATCCTCAGGTCCGTTGTCAAACAGGAAGAAAGACAGAGTATCTCTAAATTGGTTTTGGTTGCCAGCATTTCTGTTCCGACGACAAGTCACACCAAGTGAGTATTATTGAAGATGATGGCGTGTTGCCAAGCGTGCAGTTGACATCTCTGGCATATGAGGCGCCGGCACGGTACATCGACAGAGAGGCTCCTCACGCAGAAACCAATACGCTAGTGTGAAGGCAAATTACTTGGGTGCTAGTCAATCATAAATTTGAAAGAGATGAGAGCATGGCTATCACGACGTTGATTGAAGTACACCAACAAATCAAAGACAGGAGACTGCGGACATTGACGAGTTGCATCGTAGAACCTCCTCGTTTGCCACGAAGCTTTGGAAGGTGTAACGTGATATGGGGCCTGATTCCCTCGTGGAGTACTCCATGGTCAGTCACCCTTCATATCAATCCTTCTTGTCGCCCTCTTGAGATGAAGTCCCCAGCGACCTTGACATGGCGTCAACATGCGACCATGGCAGGTCGGGGCCGAAGTAGCGAGACATGTTGTCCTCAGTATCTTTCTTCTCGTCCCCTTGACGTCTCCTGGTGTTGACCTTCGAAGTGTTGGTATGCTTTGTACTGGACATGGGGTGCTGTTGGGGACATTCGGGCTCATAATTGCTTCTGTAGGCGGAAGTCGATGTCAGTTGAGTCCATCTTCTTGGTTACACTACGATCATAAACAGCGGAAGGCGGCTTACTGATCTGGGAAACGAGAGCCCATCTGGGAAAAGTTGATATCAGAGGAAGGCATCCCTACCGATGCTTTCGAAGATTGTAACGTCTAGTGTAAACAATTGGGCGTATAGCTACTTGAGCTGGGAGTGAAAAAGCTGAGTGCACTCCAGCCCATCCCTTCCAGGATGTCCTTATTTTATATATACCGCATGGCCCGTTGCCTTCTCTGAGCCTTTGCGAATCGTCTCTGGGCCCATCTTCCGGCGGATACCTGGCTTACGGCTGCACGATGAGGAACTTCGGGACCCACACATACTTCCCTTCGACCCAGTCGTCGACTGCAGCGGCCCTCCATAAACCATCCTGCATCATGCAATTGTCAATTTCCTATTGGCCAGGTTGCTTGGGGACTCTATAGTAACCAATCATCTCTCTTCACTACCTTACCTTGTTACCTTATTGTTAGCCTTCTCAACTACAACGATGGTTCCCTTGTTTTCGGGGTGCAGACCATTCCTCGCGATTTCCAGTCTCTACCCCCACATCCAACACAGCCCAGCCTCTCTCTACGATCATCCGTCACATCATCCCCTACCATAATTTTGGGGTAACCCAGCAACAGCAGCCAGAAACAAAGTAGACGGTCAATGTCTGCCCACCGACCGGAATGCTCAAAGAGCCCTTCTCCAGCTGCCAAAATATACAGCCATGTGATGGTTCTGGTGCTATTTGCATTAACTAGGAAAACCACGACGACTGCAGCAAACAGAAAACAGCCCAAATGCCGGATATCTTCGCCCAGGCGTCTTCGATCTATATCTGGCATAGCCCAGCCAGTAACAACAGTCATCATTTCATAGACATGGCTGAACGAATAGACTCCAATGCTTTTAGGCTAGTGCTCTATACATATCTCTAGAACAACATGTCCTCAGACAGCAGAGTTGTCAGGCCCCCCGGGGATGCAGGAGACGACAACGCCCTTCAACTACTAGCTGAGCTATTGACAGACACTTCGTTCCACTCGTCTACGCTACTGAAGGCGATTTGAGCTTTTCTGAGCCAGCACAAGTGGTTTGGATCTTGGATCAGCCAGGAAATAGCCCTGCCTCCGTCGGGACTGATCCAATATAGCGATCACCACGTCCCTGTCGACGCATTCGATGCTGCTATGACAGCTGTTTACTTATGCAATGTCGGTAGGTCCCCCAGAGAGATGCCTCGGTGGCGAGGGTTTGCTGCTGGCCTTGACGACAATGCTTTTCATGCGCCTGGCCTAATCCCGCGGCGCCAGCACCGACGCGGCGAAGGCCTCAACAGTGGGAAATTTCTTTTGTCAGAACTGCGCATCGCGCCAGGCAAGCCGTTTTATGCCGCTATAGATCCTCGCAATATCAGTTTCGGAACGCTAAGTATCACCGCCGATATGATGTCTTTGCATCTGCGGCCAGATTACAGCAAGACTACTCTTCACGGGTGTACCAAGGGCACAAGAGCCACATCATGATCGGGTACACAATACAGACTGGAATACTGCACATTCCCCAAAAACAAACTTGATCCTCCATCTTGGGTACTAGAGTGGCGGAAAGTTGTCCTGAATGGGGTCGAGATCAATCCAATGAGCCATCGAGACCTTTTCAGAAGTTCAGGAAACAGATCCCAACCGGAAAAAAGTGGTGTCTGTGATTTGAGTGATAGAGTCTTGCGTCGACGTGGATGCCTCGTTGATACGGTAACATCCGTGTTCCAGATCGGAGTTTTTGAAGGACGCAAACAAACACTCAGTGACGCCTTCATCTCTGAAAAGTTCAGATCATGGGCTTTGAAATCTATCATGGACTTTTCAACGCCGTTTCTGAAACCGCCTGCTGCAGAGATCAGACTTTGGCGCACAATGGTCAGCGATTAGATGAGCACCTCAAGATGTAGCAGTGAATTCGATGTTCTTTCTATTCTCGCATTTCACCGGGATGCTCTACCAGCTGGATCGCTTACAAGCAAGCAAATGGAATACATTCTTCACAACACCTATCCATACCCTCTCCGACCTGGACCCGACAGCAATATCGACAAACAAGCTCTGGTGGACAGTTTCTGTGACAGGATCACTGGTCAGGCTGCCAGCCAGAGTAGGAAGAGGACGTTATTTGTGACGCAAGGGGGACGGTTCGGGCTGGGGCCTGAATCTATCGAGAGAGATGATGAAGTGACTATCATATTTGGTACGCAGGTACCAATAATCCTGCGACCTTTCGAACAGCAATACCGGTTCCTTGGGGACGCTTATGTAGATGGAATCATGGATGGCGGAGCTATGAAAGCGTCCTCGGAGGTTGACTTCGATATTATTTAGGAATGCCTGCGACAGTAGAGAAGCAGTCTGGAGATGTCAATGTATCAGACGGCAGAATCAATCAATTGGTAGTGAAATAAGCTATTGTGGGGGTTGCCCTTGATAAGTGAACCCGCTGGTAATCAGGTTGTGCACAATGTATTGTCGTCTGGGAGAACAAGCTTGCTCCGGGTTTTGGGATGTGGACCTCTCTAGTCGGCACAAAGGTACTCGCAAATCGCCACCACAGAATTCCATCTAGCAACTACCCAACATTCCGGTTCCATCATGGCAACCAATGTACTCAAACACCTGCTGCTCTGCCTCCAAAACAAGCACTTCATGAAACAAACTCAGACTCATCTTCTCCCCTAGTCTTTTTGCATACTTGGCGAACTCTCCAAAGATGGCGAGGTGTGTCTTATGCTCTTTGCTCCAGCTTTCTAAGGAGCTGAGATTGTCGAAGTACGCAAGACAAAAGGTGCGATCTGTGCCACCCTCAGCTGTGACCGGGTCCACTACCTCCATGAAGCGACAGCTGATACAGCCGACCTCATCCCCGTGGTCTCGTAAGAAATCCATGCCTCTGGTAAGGGGCGGCTCCATGGAGTCGAGATAGATCTGGCGCTCTTCGGGGAGCGCAGCCGACCAGTCTTGACCTGAACGGATGATGCAGAGGTTCTTCTTGCCTTGGATGCGCACCCTCTTCAACTTGTCTGTGCCATTCGTGGTGGAATCTCCGTTCTTGACAGTCTCGGCATCCCCAAGAAGTTCATCCGTCTGTGTGATGGGGAGGCGGTCGCGCATGCTCCCCCAATAGACGTGTTCTTGGATGGGACCGGTGATGCTCTCCCTCAAATTTCCAGCACCCTCTGGTAATTGTGTTGAAAACACCGTCTCGAGGCGATCGATTGTTGGGTAAAAGACCTCAAGAAACCAGCCGTTGTTGCTGGGAGTAAGATTACTCCACCAATCGTGGAATTCGCTGGTGTTTGACCATTCTTGGTAGGCTGACTTGCTAGGCCAATATGCGAACACGGCGAGATTGTAGAAGCCGCGGTTGTCGGTCACTGCTGCGACCTCGTGAAAGCCAGGACGCGATCCTGGAGTGGCCGAGTTGGAGGTAATGAATTCGGATATTGTCCTCAAGGCCGAACCATCGTGCTTCACATTTGGTTCGCATTGGGCGCCGATGACTGCCATTACAAGGTCTTTTGTGTCTTTTGGGAATCTAGACGTGTACAGCTCGAACGGAGGCTTGAAGCCCGGCGGAGCTCTCGCCGGCACCGTGCGATTCTTTCGCAGCCATTCTGGAATGGCAGACTCTAGCTCCGTCATCGTGAAGATTGGAACAAGTGAAAGGACGTGCTCGAAAAGGTGCACGAAAGCTGGGGAAGGATGACTCGGGGTGATATCCAAACGTAACAATTACCACATCATGTCCTGCAGCAACCCCAGTCCGGACTTTTTATAAACTGCCGGCATCTACCAAGAAGCGCCCAGTTCATCCGAAGACGATCTGTGACACCTTCAAAACCAAGGTTTGCAACTAGCTGATGTTGATTCGATGATACCGGGCGTACCGGGTCCTCGGTGCCGGAGCGAGGGCGAATCACGATCGGCGATAAGTACCCCGCACGGAGACTGACGTCCGCGTCAGCGGGGCCGATAGGGTAATGCTCTTCCGGGCGGGACCCACGTCGATAATGCGAGGTCCGGCATGCGTTAGCCAGGGTTCGGCCTGTGTTGGCTGGTTTGGGGAAGTGGAGGACTGTTTAGTTTAGCCGCAAATCAAAGGGTTTTGCTGATCCGTCACGGATCCTCCATGCAGTCGATAGGGTAATGGTCGACCGGCAGAATCAGATGATGGGCATTTGGGGGTTTATCGCCACGCGTGTGATACGCGAGAGGAAGCATCAACGACAGAGGATAGGATAATGCTGTACCGATCTAAAACATGATAAACCCCCTGGTGCATCATAAAGATGATGAGGAGAAAGAGGAGAAGCAGGATCATCGACATTGATACTTAAACACGCCTCCATCACGATGAGTACGACATCAGACGAAGCATCAGCACTTACAGATTCCCAAGACTCCTCATACCTCTCCATTCGCCTGAAGAATTCAGAGAGCCTACCACCTCCTTCATCCAAAACAACCTCTTCAAAGACCAAGATGGCCCCCAAGCTCAAGATTGCTGCTATCCAAGCCGAGCCTGCTTGGCAGGACCTCGAGGGCGGTGTAAACAAGTCCATCGCTCTAATTGAGAAGGCCGCCAGTGAGGGCGCCAACGTTGTCGGTTTCCCTGAGGTCTTCATCCCCGGATATCCTTGGTAAGCAGTCGCAAGACATAGTCCTTCTAGAAGTAGTCGACAGTCGACTAACATGCGCCGGGAAAGGAGCATCTGGGCCAAGTCCCCGACTGACAACGCTGCTTTCATGGACGAGTACTTCCGCAACTCCCTCGTGAAGGACTCGGATGAGATGAAGCGCATCTGCGCTGCTGTTAAGGAAGCTGGCGTCTTTGTTGTTCTTGGATACAGTGAGCGATACAAGAACACTCTCTACATTGCACAGGTATGCTCTCTACGCCTCGGTCATGATAATGCCCGCAATACTAATAACCTTCAGTCTTTCATCGATGAGAACGGTGTCATCGTCCACCACCGCCGCAAGATCAAGCCCACCCACGTCGAGCGCGCCTACTGGGGTGACGGCCAGGGCGAGTCCCTCCAGACCGTCGTCCCCAGTACAGTGCACCCTGACGTCCGCATCGGCGGCCTCAACTGCTGGGAGCACACGCAGACCATGCTCCGCTACTACGAGTACGAGCAGAATGTCGACCTGCACGTCGCCAGCTGGCCTCTCATCTGGCCCCAGCCCAACGACAAGGACGGCAACCCGGACCCCAATTGGCCCGGCCACATCACCGACGAGATGTCTCTGCGCTTCTCCCAGATCGTCGCGCTCGAGGGCGCTTGCTTCGTCATGGTCTGCACGCAGATCTGCAAGGACGAGTCGGCTGCGCGCTGCCGCATCGACGACTTTGGATACGCCAACAACCACCCCACGCACGGCGGCGGCTTCAGCATGATCTACTCTCCCTGGGGCCAGGAGCTCGCCACGCGTCTGCCGCCCAATGAGGAGGGCATCCTCTACGCCGAGGTCGATCTTGCTGAGAAGGCCAAGGCGAAGCAGAACCTGGACATTGTCGGCCACTACTGTCGCCCTGACCAGCTGAGTCTGCGGGTCAACAAGTACCCCGCCAGACCTGTCCACTACGCGGCTGACCCCTGAGTGCGATGAATTCCTTGCAAGGGAGGGAGGGAACGGAGATCCTTTCGAAATGTCTTAAATCCAACCGCTTGGAATATTGGAGACGCTAGGCTGTGTTTTTCGTTAGAGTTCGGCTAGGCATTGTTAGTGGATATGCGGGGAAAGATAACTCAGCACTGATTGATTCGTCGGAGTGGGGGGTTTCAGGTAGTGATAATTTCTGTTATTAGGCGCTCATGACACAACGCGGACGCTCATCTGAACTTAGTCTTCTACACCTCGGTGAAGTGACTTTCTGAATGCCCAGCCCTGCCCAGCCTCGACGACGCCCTCAGCGAGCCTCACGACGCGCAGATAAGGCGCGATAAGACGACATGTCTAAGCCGACCGCTTCTGCGCCGCAGCCTGAGGGGAAGAAGAGGCAGCGGGTCTCAATCGCGTGTCTTGCGTGTCGGGGGAGGCGGATGCGCGTAAGTTGTGGACACATGAGCGCAGCCCCACGGAGTTCTCCGTTGAGATCCGAATGAGTCGCTAATGAGATATTGCGGTAATAGTGTGATGGACAACAACCGATCTGCGGATCCTGTGTGAGAAGAGGGACTCAGTGTGAATTTCAGCATGCGGAAAATAAGCGCAGGTCGGAATTCTTCCTTGAGTGAAAGAAGGCGCCAAGACCGCGGCTATTGACGATGAGATAGGCCACCGAGCAAGAAATACGTCGAATCGCTTCAAGCACGGATAAGATTGTTAGAGGCCCAGGTCGTGTCACTTGGGTCGCAGCCGCCGATGACACTTCCCGAAACACAATCGATTGAGCCCGAAGGAGCCGAGCTCGATGAGAGCACCGGTGATGAGCAGGATCCTCTCGCAGAACTTACGGGGCTAGTAGGGCGTCTCAACGTGATTGAAGATGGCCAGGTACACTATTTTGGATCACAAAGCTCATACAACCTCGTCCGAGAACCAATTCGCGAAGCCGATCCTCACGAGCCGTCTCTCCGTCTGCAAAGACAGGGCATTGCGGCCGCCGCGCAGTTAGGAAAACTGGTCACAATATCCGACGACATGCAAAATCACCTACTCGACATTTACTGGCGATGGCAGAATCCATGGAATTACGTCATCCACAAAGGAACGTTTTTGAGGAGTTTCAAAGGCGAGGATGGGGGAAAATACTGCTCACCCCTACTACTCTCCGCCATCTTTGCCATTTCGGCACGATACTCGGATCGCCCGGAGCTACGCTCAGACCCAAACGACCCGAACACCGCCGGCGATGCATTTTGCGAGCATGCTAAGATTTTGCTACTGTATGAGAGCGAGGCGCCGACGATCACAACTGTTCAAGCCGCGTGTCTCTTGGCTCTTCGCATCATGTCGGATGGCAAGGAGGCTCTCGGATGGCTATACTCAGGTAAATGCCTTCGTACTTCTAGAGCCGTACGAATCTACTGACAGAGCCTTTAGGAAACGCAACAAGAATGGCTCATAATCTTGGCTTAAATCTTGATTGTTCAAAATTTGTGACTTCCGGGCTGTTGTCAGAGGATGAGGCCGATACGAGAAAGGTGACGTGGTGGGGATGTTATGTCGTGGATAAGTAAGCGAGCTTCGTCTGAGCCTATTCAGCCATGGAATGGGTTTATGGGACAAATGCTGACTGAAACCTAGACTATTCTCGCTAGGGTTGGGCAGACCAAGCAGCACACCAAAGTCAAGCATCACTTGCCCGAAGCCTAGCATCGATAACGAGGAAGAGTACACGCCTTGGAAACCGACACCTGGCGGGGCGTTTGATGAGAGCACTCTTGGTGTTCACTCTCACATCTCATCAACAGCCCACCATGTATCAGAAACTTACACAATTGCATGCGAGGCTATGGATATGATGTAAGACCCTCACTTAAAGCAGAATTTTCTCCATATTGACAATTGTCAGATACGCAATCAACAGCAAACTTTCACCGAGAGAAATTGAGGACATCGTTACAAAGGCCGATGTCGAGTTACAATCACACTATCGAGCGTTGCCTAGCTACCTCCGCCTACCTTCTTCCCCCAAAGTACCTATGCTTCCACATATCTGCTTGTTTCAGTGAGCATTGCCATGCAATCCCGATCATGACTGAAGCTGACGTATATCGTTAGCATACAGTACCATGCCCACTTAATTCTCTTACACAGACCCTTGATGCGAAAGAGAAAATCAAGACGTTCTGTGAGCAAGAGTGCTTCGTCTCCCGAAGATACAAGCAGCTTGGCTGATGACGAATATGCAAATGAGCACATGACTACTTGCCGTCATTCAGCAGCAGAAATCGCCAGGCTCTTGAGGGTTTACAAGCAACAGTACACTCTGGTAAGTTTCTCTCATTCAGCCAATGAGTTCCTGCACGATGCCCAAATGATTCGAACCGAGCTGACAATTTCCGAATAGCGTCGTATACCGATCGCGGCTGTTCATCTATGCTTCTCGGCAGTTATAATCCATCTCATCGATGCTCGGCCGTCAAATCCCAAGAGGCAACTGGCAATTCATCACTTGCAGACGTGCATCGACGCGTTGAGGGATCTGAGGACGGCGTGGTGTGCCTGGAGTGATCGGGCACTGCGAGCAATCCAGTTACTGGCAAGAGAGTGGTACCACTGCGACGATGTGTCACAATTACAGCATGTCAACAACCCCAACAGAGGAGGAGCCCGTGAGGCGGGCTACGTTAGTTTGGGCGATTTGACTATGGGTGTGGGAGGAGCAGCAGGCGGCCAGCTAATGGGGCCTTCAATTGCTTCACCAGGCGCGACTGCTGAGAGTACGATGGTGAACACGGGGCGAGAGCAGGCTGTGGCGGAAGGAGATCCACTGGCCTTTCTGTTTGATGCCAGTATGCCAGATCAGTACACTGATACGCTGGTCAGAGAGTGGCTTGCAGAGAGCGGATACGATGATATGCTGAATATGGCCAACCAGTAAACAGACTGATGGCTATGAAGAATTAAAAAATAATGGGTTTGGGTCTGGCGCGAGGGGTTCAACACCCCAAAGCTGGCGATCGAATATTCTCAAGTCTGGAATGTCCACGTGATGGTAACGACGCGTGAGGTATTGTGGCTGGACTTCATCAGGCAGCCAACGTTGGCGTTCGATAGGAATGTGATCCCTAACGCGGGTTACGCGGACGTCATGAGTTTAGCGCGCTGCGGCAGTCCAGACTTCTTGCGTTAAATCGCTCAGCCGAGCCTGTCATCGCAGAGAGTCCTTGCAGGGGATGGGGGAGTCCTGGTGAGACCCGCTACGCGGCCGTTCAGCTCTGCACCAAATCGGTGAATATTGGGGCGATCATTTCTTGGCGGCATACTGCAGCAGGACTCCTCGGAAAGACTCTCTTGTCTCGCTTTGGATGAGTTGGTATTGGTTAACCAGACTTCTGAAGGCTGCAAGCCACCGGACTCCGACCTGTTTTTGAGTCGCCAGGGATAGTCTAAAGCAGCGTTGCCAGGGTGCCAGGTTTGGGTATTTATCAGCGAGACCTTAGCACCCTAGACTTGGGATGTTGAGTATCCTCACCGTCACCCAATTTCTCTCCTGTTACTGAACACAACCCATCAAGATTTCGAGAGGCTGCGCGCCTCTTCAGCAACTCAATCACCTGGGGTTTCTCGGGTGAATTTGTATTTACTCTTCAGAAGGGTCGCCGTATCCCTCAAGCGGCGGCCCTTTGAACCCTTCCAATCGACCCACAAGCCTGGTGTGCTTTTGTCACCCCAAACCCCTTCACCAACTTTGACGACACCACCTCCCAAACCGTATCTTCAAACCTCTCCCAACAACCACATGTCCCTTCAAGTACAGACGGAGCTTCCCGTGACCAAGTCTCTTCTCACTTCTTGCATGGATTCCCTCACCTCGATCTTACATCGCCACTCTTTCAATGGAGTTTGGATTCCTATCTCAACTCGGATGATGACTTCGGCCTTGACTCAACCAACGAAGTCTCGGAAGCTGATTTCCAATATCTACTCCAACCAACACAACTTTTATCTTCGGGAAGCGACTATATCGCAATAAACCACCCACCTCCAACTTTGGGAAGCGACCATTTCGCTATAAACCACCCACATTCGACTTCGGGACGCGACTATTTCGCTATAAATGCCCCAACGTTTCCAGTCGCGCCATTCGCGACCTTGACTCCCGAATCAACAGATCCAGCGATTTTAAACACCAAGTGGCCGAAAGAAACGCGACCAATTCGCAAACACAAATGCCAAGAGCCTGGCTGCCGGTACTCCACCAACTCCCGAAAGGATCTGATCAAGCATCACCTCAAGCACAAACCGCTGGCCCAACATGAACGCCCACGTTGCCCTCATAGTGGCTGCGAGGCGACTTTCACGAGACAAGACAACCGCAAGCGACACATTCGAGAGAGTTGTCGCTATCGATCGCACAACCAATGAACCCATAGTGCGACTCTGAGTCCTTCGGTGAGTTCTTCCCTTGGTCTATAGGTTTCATCCAGGTAAGGTGCTAATAGAAACGCAATCGCAGCCCGCAAAGAAAACATTACCACTTGTTCAAACAAAATAGAACAACATCGAGCTGGAAATCGACGTATACGGCTATGATGTGGCACACAACCCGCTCCAGAAAAGGAAGCGACGCCACGAATTCTTCGCCTAAATATGGCAGCTACATCAAACCTCAGCCGAAAAGCTAACAATGATTAATCAAGACACATCACAGCTCATCAAAAACCACACACCGGATGTTGAGCTTCCTTACCTCCTTGTACTGAATTGAGACTGGTCGCAAAGCCCTTGGCTTGGAGTTTCAATGAGATATAAGTTGGATAAGGGTACTTTCTCAGGCAAGAGTGTTGAAAATGGTAAAGCCTACCAGGCGCTGTTGGATCGCGTCGTGGAGCGTTGAAACGCCAAACTACGGCCGCTCAAATGGATTGCTGAGACTGTTGCGTTGTATGTGTCAGTTGCCATAATTCAAATGGCAACAGCAAAGAACATTTTGAATATTGAGCTGATCGGCCGATATTCTTTCGTCAAGATCAATTCACTTGTACTCCTTGTAATGCCTGAACCGTTTCTACTTCAATTCGCATTGCTGTCTTTTCATGTGATGAGTTCAATGATAGTGAACCTGCATCACATTTTTTATATTGATGAAGGCATAAACGGCCAACTACAAACAGCGGACCGAAGTCATTCCGTCTCTTCCCGTACCCTCCTGTTTTGGCTTGTCGCCAAACGCCTGTCGTCACCAAACATCTACCCAGTAGTTGTATGTCTGACCAAGACAGTGTCACCTGTTCCTATCTATCCTTCATGAAGCAGCTTCTTGATCGATTCCACCCTCCAGTTACTTTGGCGTAAAGTCATATCGTAAGCACCCAACATCGATGTAACCACCTCGGCCCTGATTACCCGTGCCTGATTCATAAGTGTGTTAGCCATGGCACTTCGATTCCTGTTTGGAGTTCGTCAACCCACAATTTTTCCAATTTTCCTGGAAGAGTTTCTCGCAGGCGGTATTGTGAACCATTGTTTTATCTTGCATAGGATTTGTGCAATTGATTGACTCGGTTGTCGACACGCACCCTGACTTCCAGCTGATTGACATGTCATAGCGGACCCCGCCCCAACTGTCATCTCGCCTTAGAGTCTCTGAATCGGCTTTCATAAGCGCTTTGCACTCAGTGCAGGCCCTTAATGAAGCATCGTATACCGAAGATTTCCAAATGTCCGTTTTACCAGTGTAAATGCTAGCGTCATGGCACTTGCGCTCGCCGATTACAACAGGCGTCTTCGGCGTCTCTGTACGAGTTGGTACGGGATCGGGTGGCTTCGAAGTGACCGTAGACAGAGTGGTCTGGATAGCCGCAGTCTTGGAAGGCAGGTCGGGCAAGACGCAGACACATTTCCCGTCGATGCAGCCGTTGGTCTGAGGTGCACTGCAGACGACTCCAGGGGAACACTTGTCGACTGTCGTCTCGGTGCAGACAAAACTACTGGGTGCTGGTAGGTCGGGAAGAATACAAACGCACTTCCCATCAACGCAGGCATTCACCCGAGGCCTACTACAAACGACGCTGGGAGCGCACTTGCCAGCAGTCTCCTCGGTGCAGACGAAGGTCGTTGGAATGGCAGTGGGTGCCACTGTGCCGCTACCTGTGGGTGTTGCTGTTGCTGATGGATTGTGCGTTGAGCCTGCAGAAGCTGTTGGGGAAGTGCCAGGGACACATTGCCCAGTCAAGGCCGCGCCTTCTTGTCGCCGAAGTCGGAATATGTTGGTAGTGCCTGTAATGTAGGGACAAAAGCCTTCGCGCTCCAGACTCTCAATAGTCGCGCCATTCCAGATTCCCAATACGCCGTCGTTGTTCTCATTTTGTCGCACCCAGCCGTTGTTAATGATGTACCTCTTAAGCCCAGCTGGACTCATATCAGGCGGATTTCCCTTTGCGTCAGGACCTAAACGTCCAAGCTGGTGCAATTTGAGGAAGTAGGCTGCAAGTCCCGCCGTGTACGCAGTTGCTGCAGGTGTCTTGTCAGCCGTCCGGTCACCTTTACTTAGACTTGTACTCACCATCCGAAGTCCCCTGGGAGAATTTGTAAAAGCTCTTCTTGTCGCCAGTCTGCCTTTTCTGTGTGGTTTTGCCGCGGTCCTCAAATCTACTGGGCCAGGCGGCTTTGTTTCCCTCAGCAACAATCAATTTTTCCCCAGGCGCATAAATATGAGGCAGACCAGATGTCCCCAACCCCGATTTCCACCATCGACTTCCGTCAGTTATGTCAGCGGCCCCCACAACCAATAACTCTGGGATCGAGAGAGAATAGTCCTTCTGGTGTTCGGGTGCAAATTCAGCGGGCAAGGTGTTCAACTAAATCGTCAAGATGTTAGAAATTAATTTAACGACTCTAGGAGGGGGATACTAACCACAAAAGCGTTGCCAGAACCAGTGACAATGAAGACTCCTTTGGCGATGAGGCTGGTGAGAATCCGGTGCATGCGGAGCCTGAACCGGGCCCATTGTTCAAAGGCCTCCTTCTCAGCATCCTGTACCTTTCCCTTATTCTGCATCACCCAATCTCTCCGAAAGTTCTCCGACTGATGGCCCTGTGCCATACAGAGAATTGCTCTCGTAGTAGCGCTCTGATCTGGAATGGCATCATCAACCGCAGACAAGGCACTTAGCCACTGCTCGGGACTGGCACCACCTCCTTTCTTTTGACGTCGTGGGACGCGTACCATAATAGGCTTCACCTTCTTCGCAATTCCGATATTTGCTCCAGCAATAATGCTCAACATCGCCGTGCCGTGCGCTTTACAATGCACCGGTGAAGCACACTCGCCATTCTGTTGAATATTCGAATCATCTCGGTTTTGCTGACCATCGAAGTCTTCGCCGATGAAAATGAATTCAGTTTTGGAAGCTACATTGTCCCTCAAAGTAAACTCCTAGACATTAGAGTTAGCTCAACTTGAAAATTCTGACATATAAAGGTGCTAAGCTCACAATGTGGTCCATCTGAGCCCCAGTGTCAACGATGTAGACAGGAACATCTTCTCCGGCACTGATGTCGAAATAATAGTGCTCATTGTATCTCTTGTCGTCCGACCCCTTGTTTGCCGAGATATATGCCATCTGCTTGATGTGGTCTGTTGCGTAAATTTGCTCGTCAAGGTATTGGCTTTGGTATCTCCAGGAAATCTTCGAATCCTGTATCGTCGGGTCTGAACAGTCTGATGTACATTCTCGATAAACAGATGCAACCTTGTTACATATCCTGGTTAGTAAAACCTCACTTGTTTTACAGTTCCGACTTACGTTTGCAATATGTCTGACTTCATCTGCCTGATCCGAATCCATGAGCACTCGCCAGAAGTTAACACCCAAATCTTTAGTATCCGAGACTACAATCTGAGCATCCAAAGAAATGATGCGCTGTATCTCGATGACAACGGCTGAAGTCTCGTGGGTCCTTGTCCCATCCTGCGGCCAAACAATGTATTGATCCTTAGCAGGACACGCAGGAGCTGCGCCTTCAATCGCCTGCCGTCTCTGGCCTCCGCTTGGCATCGGGGTGCAGGACACCGTCGTCGTAGTGGCTGTAACATCGCAGCCTGTTTTGGGAGATCCTGTTTTCGTCGAGCAAGCCGTCGTTCCGCTTCCACTACAAGTGACAACGATGTCGGTGGCAGTTGCAGTCTCACATTCCGCGGTCTTCGTTATGGTTGCTTCATGAGTGGAATCTGCAACGAGACAACCGCGCATTTCGGCACAGGTAGAAGTAGGTGTTCCAGTCGTCAAAGTTCTCAGTTGTCCTTCTATGGTCGACAAGACTACTGGCGTTGTTGTAGCGCAGAGGGACGCTGTCTTTGTCTCACACTTGGTGGGCTCAGGCTCGGAAGGAAATGTAGGGACATGGTCCTGACCAACACTAGTGGATGAAGTGGTGTTGTTAGACTTTGAAGCTTGAGTCGTTGTATAAGAGATACGTAAGACTTACGTGAATTTGGGCCATGGCGGCAACTCTCCATGAATCACAATCGATTGGGGAAGCTTGATTATCTGATCAAGCTCCAAATTCCTAGTATCCAGTTAGTACCATTGCGTAAACGGAATAAAGGCTTCTTCTTACGGAGGATATATTCCTGGTGGCAATAACACCTTCCACCCGAGAATGTTGATGTCGTCAAAGCGAATGCAAATCTTTGAAGAGAGATTCAGGTTAATCAACATGCCAAACTTAGTCAAAATATGCACTGGTACCCAACCTACCGAGAAGAACCATAGGTCACACGGAATGACAGAGCCCTCTTTGTCTTTTGAGGGCTCTGGCTTGTTCACACTAATTTCGACGGGCGTTATGAGAGCTTGTGGGGGCCATGACGTGAAGGTGACAAAATCCGCAGTAGACGATGTTCCAGTGGACGACGGCTCTTCGGATGGCTCGACTATAGTGATGGTCGGTGGGCCTCCAGACACGAGAGTGATGGTCCGGCCTTTCGTAGTTATGGTGCTGTGGAGGGATACCGTTGGGAGATGCAAGGTTTCCGTCCCTATGATAGCAATGACAGATCCTGTCGAATTCGATCTTGGATTCGTCGGCGACAAAGATGGCTGTATTGGATAAGACGGGTTGATGGCGGTGCCTGTAGTCTCGGGGGGCATTGAAGCTGTTGATTGTGGTGCCGTCGGTGCATGAGTTGTATTGGATACATTTGGCGAGGTTGGAGCTGTGGTTCCATCAGGAGATCTTGATACAGAAGTGAGACTGGGAGATGTTGGTGGTAAGAGGGTAAAGGTCGAGTCCAAGGTGACCATTGTGGTCGCTTCTGAGACTGGGGGTAGAGTAACGGTTTCGGATCCAATGACAACAATTGTTGGGTACTGTGTGAAGTCTCCCTCAACTGGGGGTGCAATAGTGAAAGTTTGATCCATAGTAGTGAGAGTTGTTGATGAGATAACCTCGGGGAGTGTCAAGGTCTCCGTCCCGATCACAACCACAGGCCCAGCTTTCGAAGTGACATCGGGCGTCTGTAAAGATGTCAGGGAGTTGGGTGGAAATACCGTGGTCTCAGTAGGACTCTCGTAGGTTGTGCCAGGCGATGGGAGCGTTCCACTGCCATTTTCGGTCTGAGTGGCGTAGAGAGTTTCGCTGCTGACCGTAGCCGAGGGCATCGTCCATTCCGTAGGAGAACTTGAGTGAATGGTTCTCATAGTGCTCGGCTGTGTTTCCGAGGAGACGAGGGTGGAATTGGCGGCGTCGCTCGGCTGTGCTGAAGAATGCGTAGGGCTATTTACGTTGGTGGTGGAAGGAGCGTCTTGAGAGAGAGTTCCGACAGTTATGGAAGTTTGATACGGGTCGCCAGATTCATCGGGATTTGGCACAGGGGGGATGATCTGGCCATCGGGCCCAGTGCAGCTGAAGTCGGCATTGCAAGTGAAGGTACTGTCAGGACAGCAGCCGAATCCACAGCAAATTGTACCTGCAACAACTTTAGTTTGGCTCGATTCGATGTTGACAGGAGATGGTGCAAACCTGGGCCGCAGAGATTATGCTTTGAGCTGGGGGTCTCGCAACAAGTATCCCGGTCCGTACCGCAGCGGTCCTGGCACCAGTACTGTCCTTTGGCGCATTCTTGCGAAGCAACGACAGCAGCAGTGAGAGACACTGCTAGACAGTAGAAAAGCAGTGTTTGGCCTTGACTTCTTAACATGTTTGTCGAAGCCTGACGGCAGTGATAGCAAGCGTAAAAAAGTTGGCTTTGACAATGAAGCAACCTTAGGAGGGTGCGAAAAAGGTCTTCGCAATGTTTGGTTTGATATTATATTTCCTGCAAGAAGATTAAGGACTTCGGGGTCTTATAAATCAAAACCGGACACTCATCCAGAACATCATCCCGAAAGGCCTCATGTCTAAACCTGTTGGCGACCTTCTCGGCCATGGTTCTGAAATTGGCCCAAGCCCAAGACGCATGTCAGGCGATGGTCTTGTCGTATCTGTACGCAAGCGAATACACCTTGGGGGCATATCACAGGCATGAGGCCACAGTCCGCCCCCAGATCTGGCGCCAGAAATTGGCTGTTGGTTTGGGCATCGCAAAAATAGTTGCGTGCATGCTCATGGGGGCGGGGCCATACAAAACAAAGTCGCAGCTTTGTAAGTTATTTCAAGCAAGATGCCGAAAGACGTGAAATGATAATCTGCATCGGCTAGCGAATAGGAGATTGCATGCATTCAAACGCAGAGTGAGGAGGAGTTGGCGTCCTCGTGGAACCTTGGGCAAGAAAACGATGTGCCATACTGCAGAATAGCTTGGTCGTCACTGAGTACCATGCCATACCGAGAAAACTTGATACTATGACAGATACAAACTTTATTCTTAGTGTTCTATGTCTAACTTACTTGCTTCCTGGGGATTGCCTTGTGACTCAGATTGTACAGATCCCGCGCCAACCACAACCTTTCGCTGGCAGAGTTTCCCGCTGAATTCCCATCACATATTTTGAGGACTTGTACATAAAGTCACAAGTAATAATTCTGATGAATCACCACCTATCTTCCATTGCTGTAAGCACAGTCTAAGTCCTCATCGGCCGTCTCAGTCTACGGGGCAATGGAAGGCCAATTTCATCACCGGGATATTGAGGGAACCAGTTCGTTCTCTCCACCAGACGAACCTGAGTATTGTTAGATTAGCGTCCGTTTCCGCAAAGCTTTCCATGATTCATACCTCTAGCATGTCCTGAACCTTTGGGATTTCATCTTCACGAAGGTCGGCCCGCCAGTAGACAATTCCGGACGGACGATCGGTGCGGTATTTTGCTTCAACTCGGGAGCTACAACCAGCAATCGCGAGAAGCTTTTCGAAGGCTCGACTGGCTGTTTGATGGTCATGCCAGCAATCATCCGTGCCCCAGACAATATACTGCTTTCTTGTAGGATCTTCACGTTCTGGCACTAAGTCTCAATTGTCAGATGTGAATATTCTCGAAACTGCAATATTAGAAGCGGCGTACGTTGAGGTCGATCATGGACTGGGCAAAGGTTCCGGTCTACACAACCCGAAGTCTGGTCAGAATTAGCCCACGCATCTCCAGTCCGAAATCCTTGATAATACCTCCGGCCAGAGAAGAACTTCGTGGAACTGTTCTTTGGTGAGCGGAACCTGCCACCAATCCAGTCCTAGGTCCTTTGTTTCAGAAGTCTTGATCTCCGATGGGTCGCCAATCAGTGCGAGAAACTTATCGTAAGCACGTGCATTGTTTTCCAGATCGAAACCGACTGCAGCCGGCGCTATCTTGTATCGCTGTCGATCGTCGCAAATGCATCTCCAGACTTTTTCAATATAAGGCTCGACTTCGGAATCTGACTCAGAGAGGGACGGGGACGAGGCTCTCAATATCGTAGGTGATAGGGGTGGTGCGGGATCTAGGAAACTTCGACTGCTGTTTCTTTGTCGAGGCTTGCCCATGTGGGTGCTTTCCAACGATGAAGACGTTGTTCTGCTGCACGTATTCGCAGGAATTGGATCGCCACGTTTCTCTTTCAGTATGGCTGTATCATAATTCAGTTGTGTTTGACGAAGAGCGCGGTGCCGTCCGACACTCACCCACAGCGTTTGTCAGATACCGGACACAGTCTCTGACTCTTCTCTTCAAGTTTCCGATAAGATTCATGGCTGGAGAGCCTTTCCAGCATAGCTGGACCAGCGTTGTAAGAGTATGTGACAGTGTAGAAGCAGCGTGGAAGTGGCGTGATGTTGTGTCAGGGACGTAACAAGGGCTCCAGACGCACCCTCATCTGTGAGTAGAAATTGGGCAGGAAACTGCCTTCGCAGCAGAAGAATGATCTGCCGCGCCACGACCTGCGAAAAGGCTCTTCTGGGCGTTACTTTCTTGTCAAAGGTACCTAGCGAAGTATGATGTGTTACGTTCTGAAAAGTTATCAATACCACGGTGAAGACTCGTATGTCGTTGGTCGTAGCCGCTGGCCCCTTTGCCCCTTTGCCCCTCCATTGACCCTGCCGCATTCTCGCCCCCAACACCACCTTCTCCGCAGCGGCCGAAACAACGGGATGCGGTGCCCTTTGTTCGTTGGTGTCGGCTCATGCGCACCAACAGCCATTGTTCACCGCCAATCAACTTTCGGGGTATTCTCCTAATTGACCGCTGCTTTCCGTGTGTTATTCCTGTCAGCCCCCACTTCCACAGCCTCGAGGACTCTTTCGAGATTGTTTGGTACTTGACCATCAAGAGTCCCGAACCACTTGCGAGCACCACCTCGATCTACTCCACAGATGCAGCCGATCAGGAAGAGATCCAACGAACCGCGACTGCCCTGGCCCCGAGGTCGCAGCAGTCCTTTTTCGGGGGTCTCTAACCTTCTTGGGGTCTGATGCGTTTTCCTCCATCTTGCCGCTTGCTGCGCCACTAGCAATGGTGTGATTGCGATTTCAAAACCTCCGACGCATTCCAATTCAGACATACTTTCATTAGGTGTGTGTTTGGCAGGATTGGGACCTGAATAGTTACAAAATATCAAGGTGGCAGACCAGAATATTACGGGTGAACAGCGTGTCTTGCCCAATAATAGCGTGCGTATCATCAACTTCGCTACCGGTGCACGCTCAGTGCCTGCAGGTTGTAACACATGTTGCTCAGCCCTCGACTCCTCCTACATGACCCTGGGACTTCCGCATCGCTTCGCAAGCAGAACGTAGGAAATAGAGGCAGTGGATACCTCTTATTTGCCTGATACTGTCGTGCTAGCTCCGTCTCGGGCGGCCAGCCGTCCTCCCGCCGACCAACTCCACATCTCTTCTCATTCACCTAGGCTTGGATGGTTTTACGGCCCTTTTACATCTGTTAGGTAGAGGAACCCCAACATCTGGGAAATCAAAACTCTGATTTGCAAGCTCTAATTAACGAACCTGGCCATGTTCAGGCATCATACATGATCTGAATCGCAAACGGAATGTTGGGAGCACGTACTTCTGGTATGCTTTCCGCTGCGTCGATTGATCCAGGATACTTATCTGCCATTATAAAATTCCTGGTGGACAATCTGCAATATTGCCGCAATATGCAGCCTCTATACGCGAGGTGTGCCCTACAACGTCGAGGAGGTTTCTGGCCCCCCGCCTTGCCACATCATTATCATTCCAGCATTCGTCTGTTCCCCACGCGATGCATTTTTGACCGGCCGGTATGAAAAAGCCTTGCATCAATGTTACTATCATTCTTGGAGTTCTGCATTGAGCAGATGTACACACCTTCATTGCGCGCCGGGCATTCTTGTGAGGCTCCTACGGGCGAAGGGATCTCGTGAAAATTAGCTGTACGCATCTCGACTTTAAGCAGTATCTCCTACCTCTGGCCAACCTGACAATTGTTCAACCTCTTCCTTAGTAAGTCTTAAGCGCCAGTTTATGACACCAAGGTCCCTTGAGTCGGAAACATCAACATGCGAGGAGCCGCCACAGATTGCGACGAGCTTGTCGTATGTCCGCTAGTTCAGGTGCTTGTCAAGACCATTTGTTGCTGGCCACAGAACGTGGTACTTGCTCTCTGTGTGAAAAGTAGATATCGCGGGAGTTGAGACGATATGTCTCTGGTTCAGATCGGCCGGACCGGGCGGCGAAAACCCTCCTTTCGAATGGGTTACCGATGCGGTACGCGCTGTCTCGTGGTCGATTTTCTTGAGATCAGAACCGGCAAGGCTGGCCAAAGAGCTGTCAATCGATAGTCTCGATGTTTTGGGACTGAACTTCTCCATCACGTCGGAGTTTCGGAGAAGGATTGAGGTACTGAAGTTGCTTCAACAGATACATTCGTACGGAAAGTAGCATCAACGAAAGGATGTTTCAGACCTACCTATGGCATTTTCCAAGTATTGGATTTTATTTCTGATGTTTCTCTTCAGTTTGCCAACGTACATCATTTCTCCAGCTTTTGCGTGGAAGCTGCGTGTGGGTTGGAAAGTGATGCGACAACCTTCGCCAATTCTTTTCAGCGCGGGGCTCGTGAGTAATCTGTGCGGAGACATCGTTGTACAGAGGCGGTCCTGAAAACAGGCCAGCAGCCAAGGATTCTGATGGTGTTGTAGCGGCAGGTAGCTATTTTTGCGCGGGGGCTGCTTGAATGCTGTTGGCTGCGGCTGCTCAAGAATCGTCTGCGAGTTTTGGCCCCCGAAGCGTGCCTCGCCCCCGTCACGTTACCAACACCCTTGAAGATCCAACCAACTTGGCTGTGTGTGTGGTCGATCAATATCTAAGCTGTCTGATTAATTACTGCCGAGCACCAACGGGCGCCGATGCTGAGGGTTTCATTCCGTACTTGACCCGCCCCGTCAAGACAAGGAGTAGCATTCTCTTCTGATCTAGCCGCATCCAAGTATTCCAGTCCGGCATTTAGATTACCACAAACATCCAAGAAGACAGAGCGCCGTGTTGAATCCCAACGTTTGCACGCCATAACAGACAGAGGTGTCTCGTTCCTTAATGGAGGCCCCAGTAGCGAGTATTGATAACGGGCAGGGCTATCCGTTTATGCCTATGGCGCCACCGCACGAACCCTGCAGCGAACTTCAAAGTGGAAGAGGGTATTGAGAACACAATTATTGGTGCACCCAACTACGTAGCCAGTGGAACATAGCCAGTGGACGGACAGAAACTTGCGGGGTAGTTCGAAGTCACTACTCAATCCACCATTGAGGCCAGCTGTTGACGTTTCTCAGTTAATCGCATTTTCACATTAGCCCACCACCCCCCGACGAGAGCTCTCATATTTTTTTGAAGGGAGGATATGAAATAGCGTGAATGCAGCCCACTGCTGCTTTTTCTTGATCTCTGAATTACTGGTTTCTTCACGTTTAGTATCCATGTTGCCGAGGCGTAAATGATTGAAGTAACAGCCTCATTTGCGAATTGTGGGAGGCCTATCTACAGCTTCCCTCGTACCCCGCACTATGTTTCATCCGGAGCCTTTCGTGGAGTCCAGCTAACATGAGGAAGCCAATATCGGCTGAGGTCTTGCTTTTTGGGTTTGGGTCTCCAAATCAATTGAGCTAGAAGTATAAGTCAGCATGTGACAGAGTATAAACACTCTCCAAGGCCCTTCCTCACCCTCTGCCCTGCCGTGCGCTTTCCAACTCTCACACATGGCCACACACCCGCTTGATCCAGACGCGAGATCAGTCCCATTTGATCATGGAATCCTTCTCCTCGACAGCCATGATATACTGGCCAAGGAATTGGCCAGATCGCGAGACCTTGGACCTCCAGTCTCTCATTTGTACAGTATGGCCTCAGTATCTCACTCTTCAAGAGACCTGTGGCATACTTGACCAGTTTCACGAGCCGGTCTGGATACCGGACAAACAGGTTCTTTGGACAGGATTAGGTCAAAAGTACGCCCTGGTTGACTCTTACGCACGAGAACACGGAATGCAGACTCTAAGAATTGCTATGGGACCTTTGATGGATCCTCAAAGTCCTGCCTGTCTCCAAAGCCAGAAATCAACCAAAGAATGGGGGAGATATATAAGGGGCACCTCACTCATCTTCTCCTGGCGTATATCACAAGGAAATGTCGCTACCGTACTGACGCAACCCCCGCCAACTCGCTTCAATCCACATGGACGAACAGCCTACCAGGACATTGAGGAGCCCGTTCTCAAGGGCATTCTTGGAAATCGACCTATTGGTCGAATCCTGGCAGTACATCCAACAATCGAGAACGCTAAAGAGTTTCCACCGTATGAGATATTTCCACAGGATCATCAGGACATCTGGAAGAATGTTTTCGGGCGTGTCAAATGCCCCAAGCATACCTGGAGGGGTGTTGATGGGAACATACGTACGAGTTCACCCGTCCAAAAGCCTCATACCTGAAAGACATCCTGATTAGTAGGCAGCTTTACCAAAGTGGGCTATCACGTCGGCAGCCTATGGGTTTGTCGGCAGCGAAAATCCTAAGTCTCGCTCTGCGGCAATATTCCTTTGCGGGGTTTTAATTTGCGCTGGCATATCCTCGCAGTTGTCGTTGGTCATTCTGGTGATTTCCTCCCTTCTAGTGGTTCAAAGTATGTTTGGAATTCCTTCGATCTCCATGCATTTTACCGAAATCGAACCCGAAGAGTGTTGTGATCTCAAGTTAGCGATTCCTTCTACCGACAACATCATCACCAATGGCTTGGGCAAAAAGCTCGAAGCTTTGAAGGCCAACAAGAATATGCTGGATGCTCCGGTTTTTCCGAAGGCAGCAGTAGGAATAGATTCACCCAAGGTCTCCGACAGGGAAGAAGTAGCAAAGGTGGCCATTCTTGCGAAATTACCCAAGACGAAAGATACTGCTGAGCAAGCTTTAACATCTCCGACGACATTGAAGACTCAACCATCACCGGTCGAGCCCATCACGCCCTCAGTGGATCAATTTATTGCCCAAAGAAAGGGAGAAGTTAGACCGACTTCAAAGAAATTGTCCAAGGGCAAAGCAGCGGGAGCCACTGAGGTAACACCCGGGTTGTCAACGCAAGGACTGAACGCCCAAAGTCCTAATGAGTCCGGAGCTGAGCCCCACAAGAAGAAGAAGAATATGGACGGTGGAGAAACCCTGGTTACAAAAGCGAAGACGAAGAAGTCACAAGACAAGAAAATGGAAAAGGAGAATGTAGATCGTAAGGGGAAAGCCAAGTCTAAAGCTCCTGTAAACACCAATCTGCCTACCGTTCCAGAAAAGCCGGCTGTTGGAGGAACCAAGAAGAAGAAGCAGAAAAAGGCAACGCCTACAAAGGTGAAGGGCATAGCATTAACAACAAAAATATCTTCCAAGAGGAAAGAGGCGGAGAAGAGCAAGGAAACTGAAAAACAGCCAGTGAAATCAACCGGACCTCGTACTTCAGCGAAATGAACAATGGTCTGATGAACTGGGGAAATTCGCTTCACCTTTCACTAGAACTGCAGATGTCATTTCCATGCACAGTCTACCGGCACGTCACGTTTTAGGGGGTTAATGATGATCTGTATTTAAAAAGCGTTCCGAGCCGTGGTTGAAGTGATCTCGCTTACTCAGCTGCTCCCATGGGTTGGTCGTGTGAGAGGGCAACTTGCCGATATCCAGCCCACAGGAATCTAACGACGCGCCTCAACTTCCAGAATGGACTCATACCTACAAGAAAGGCGCGAGAAAGTTTTGTTGCTCGTGGCTTTCGGGGTTCCTACTAATCGATGGTTTAGAGTAGTCCCTGGCCCCATTGGCCGGCTAGTGGGTGGAGCGGAGTGCGTGGCAGAGCGGTTTCAGGGAAGAAGATAAAGTTGCGTTAAGCCGCAACCTAGCGCATTGCTGCGTCGACTCGTCATTTCATTGAACCTCTCAGTATCTTAGTAATTGTTCTTTTGTGTGCTATCTGATTCACGTTCGTGTTGTTGCCTAGCTCATACGGACAAGGCGTGGCATGTCTCTTTCACTCGACTGTCCGTTGCTTGATTTTCTACCACTTCTGTGTTTCTTGTGGCCTAATGAGTAGGTATCTAAGTACAGTCTCCCTTAATCTTGATGTGATTAAGCTTTCCTTATGCGATAAGGACATCCTGGCTTGGATGTTGGCGAAGAAGATGGGATGAAGCGAATTTGAGCTGGTGTTTGACCATACTTTAGTTTCAACAGCAGCGTTTCAGGATGAGCACGCCAAGTTAAACATTGCTCCAGGGGAGGGGGCTCTTTACGGTGCTTTCGGGAAACCATGCTAATTTGAGTCGTGACCCGAAGTCTCTACCACGGCGCATTTTTGTAGCATCATCCCCATCCCGACGTTCTTTTTATGACGACGACATATTTCCCTCCAATTCCAAAGTACAGACGGCTTGTGCAACGTGCGATACCTGTAGCAAGGACACAACGTGTGACTCGATACATGCGCTTACAACATGAGGACCACTATCTGGTGGACACTTGTTTACGCCGTTCTGGCGATTGCGGGCCTGCTACCGCGACGCACATTCAACTTCTTGAACGATGATACATTCGCCATCGAAGACTCGGGGAAGGCGTTCGTGGCCAGCAGCGCCCCTGAGAGCGCATGCGCAATGGTGCAGCCAACGGTCAACAAATTTTTACAAGACAAGCCGAAAGGTACGTCAATTCACGGGCCCTCCTGTCCTTATTCCTTCAAGATCTTTACACGTAGAAAAGGGGCTGGTGCCTCAAGTTCTGCTGAGGCCACTGCTGATACTCATGAATAGCCCTCCCAAGAGTGCCAGCAAAGCTTGCCTTCGACTGTTTGCAATCTGTTCCAAATAAGCCCGACCCTGCCAAAGAACTGCTCAAAAGCTTGAAGACGTATGTGCAACTTCAAAGCACACTTCCTTTTCTTAAAACCCCCCCGGCTTCGTACAAACTTCCAGCAGTCGACATTGAAGGCGGTTTCCAATCCATTGGAGACAAGGTAGCCAACAACAAGTACCAAAGCGAATATGACTTCCAATTGGACATTCTCGACCTGATCTCATCGGCTCACGATGGCCACTTTGTCTTTCGGGGCGATATGTTCAAAACCTTCAGTTTTCGGAACGGTCTCGTCACTGATGTGGTCTCAATATCTCGCGACGGGGTCGAGGTTCCGAAGTTGTACCATCTTAGTACGTTACAACTCTCTAGCGAACTTTGCTTTTACTAACAAGCCACAGAGCAACTTCGTCAGAACGCATCTGCACCAGCTATTACAAAGATAAATGGCAAAGACGCCAACGTCGTTATCGCAGACCTGAACCTCAAGTACAGTGGTCTTCAAGATCCCGATTCACAATGGAATTCTCAGTTCAATTCATACGCAACCAAGCAGAATTCTATGATCTTAGCTGCCTCGCCTATTTTTCAAGGCCCGATGCTCACTCTGACGTATGAAAATGGCGAGGAGCGCTCTGAAGAAAGTGTTGCCGTTATCCGTCCGGGCACCAACTTCACCGACATAAAGAACGGCGAGGACTACTATAATAAATTCTGCAATCCTGTTATGGTCTCCACGAACGTATTGTCTGAGGCATCGAACATAAGGACGCAGTCCAGAGCCAAGAGCCCAATGGCGCTGTCACCGATGGTCACGCCTATAGACGGCTATCCGGTCCCTGAAGTTCGGGACAAGGGCATCAACGCGACTGCAGGGTATTTTTTGAACGGTACTGGATACGATGACGTTGCTGTACTAGCTGTTTCTTCTTTTGCTCCGCCAGAGACGGTCGACAGCTTTGCATACTTGAATGACTTTCAACAAACTGTTGAGAAATTCCTGGCCGCCAGTCAAAAGGCTGGGAAGAAGAAGCTCGTAATCGACGTCACTGCCAATGGCGGCGGCTTTATCCTGGCTGGATTTGACCTATTCGCCCAAGTGAGTGGACGAAGTTCTTATGGCTTCACCTAACGTGCACTGCTGACCTCGTCTGTAGCTTTTTCCTACTGTCAGCCGCTTTCAGGCAAATAATTTGCGCCTACCGCCCAGTGTCAATACTCTCGCGAGGCTCGCTGCTGCTATTCCTGCGGACTTCAAACCCAAGACCCCCGAAGAGAATAAGGCTCTGGGCAACCTACGCGGAAGTCCTGTTCTCAGCAACCTTCTCCCAAAAGGCGTGTTCACACCGGATCGCGTAGCCTTTACCTCTTTAGAGCAGGTTCTGCGTCCAGTTGTATTAAACGGCGACAATTTTTCTGCTTACCAGCAGATTCCGATGGATCAACCAGATCCTCTGTTTAACCTCACCGGAACCGGCCCAAGGACCAACCCACCTGCTAGTGTTTTCACTCCCGAAAACATCGTTTTGCTCACAGACGGTACATGTGCATCCACATGTACCATTTTTTCATATCTCCTTATCCTCCAGATGGGCGTGAAGACTGCGGTGATGGGCGGTCGCCCCCAGACTGGGATAATGCAATCGATCGCAGGTGTCGAAGGTGCCCAGCTGTTTTCATACAATGACATTACCATCGATGCAACATCAGCTCTACTGTTAGCACCCGAGAACCAGAAAGCCGAGCTACAGAACGGCGATCTCGGTGAGCTAGCTAAAGCATACGCCATAAAGCGCGCCGCAAACCCCAAAGCCGCCGGCGCCGTAAACGGTAAAAACGCTTTCGCCATGTCCAACGCCACGGTACCGCTGCAATTTCTCTGGGAGCCTGCAAACTGCCGGTTGTTCTACACGTACGAGACACTGACCCAGCCTGAGGCCGCCTGGAAGCGTGTCGTCGATGTAACGTGGAATAATCGCCCGCAGCTTTGTGTTGCCGACAGCATTGTTCCGGCTGGCAAGCCGGCTACAGTCGACCCCTTTTTCCAGCAGAGCGCGAAGGATTTGGGGCTCAGCAAGGGCGGATAGACTAAAGAACGTCGTTAGGAGAATATTGGATTTTCATCAAAGTCATGGAGTTCATGGGGGCGTCTCAGGTTATGTGAATCTTACCAATGCAGCACAATCTGACCAACGAGAGATCAGGGATCTCTTTAGCTCTCAACACCCATATCAGGGTTCTCTCGCCACATCATAAGCTTCAATACTACCACACGGATCAGTATTATCTAGAGCACTTGCAATAAATATCGCTGGTCATTTTGGAGTGCCTTGTTAACACTAAGCTATATGTTACGGTCAGCTATCCAACAGTAGGGTCTACTAATAGAAGCTAGGGATTAATATATTATAATAGTACACTAAGGTTATAGTCTAGGTTATAGGTTATAAGCTAATAGTAGATCAGGTCTTTAGAAGCTAAGGTAATTAGTCTTAGACTTAATAAGTAGTTTATAGTAAAAGTAAACTAAGAATATTTATAAGGATAAATACTAAGTTAATTACTAAAGAGCTATAGAAGTCTAACTTTAAATAAAACTTAGGTTATACTATATATAAATCCTAAATAGTATTTTTTATTTACTTTTAGGTAATTACTTAAGTATATAGGTAATTATAATTAGTTAGTAATACTAATTAATTACTAAGTATTTCTTTTTATACTCTACTAATTATTCTCTTATCTTATTATTATATAACTTATACTATAGTTCTTCTATTCTAAGTAAGTCCTTATTATTCTGTTATAGTTAGCTATCTGATAGTAGAGTCTGCTAACAGAAGCTGGGGATTAACACGTTATAACAGTATACTAAGGTTATAGTCTGAATTATAGGTTATAGGCTAGTTATAGATCAGATCTTTAGAGGCTAAGGTGATTAGTTTTAGTCTTAATAAGTAATTCGTAGTAAAGGTAAGCTGAGAATATCTATAAGGATGAATACTAAGTTAATTGCTGAAGAGTTATAGAAATCTAACCTTAAACTTAGCTTATAGTTATATTATATATAAGTCCTAAATAATCTCTCTATCTTAAGACTAATAAGATCTAAGTAGTCCCTAAAGGTAGACTACTATCTCTATATTAGTCTTCTTATTAGACTACTTATCTTCTATTAGTCCTTTTTATTATTATATAACTTATATTATAGTTCTTTTATTTTAAGTAAGTCCTTATTATTCTTATAATTCTGTAGTATAAATATCTTATCCTAGCTACTTAACGCCTAGTAGGTTAGTTAACTGTTATCTATATATAATAGGTTATAATATTAGGTCCCCTCTCTATAGGTCTTATCCTTAAGACCTAATATAAATAGGTTATTAGTCTTAAGTTAGGGATCTATTAATTATATTTCCTAATTTACTTATAATATTAACGCTATATTAGGTTATATTTAGAAATTAAAAAAGAAGTTACTTACTATTAAGCTTAAAGATTATAAGTATAAGGCTTTAATTAAATATATTAATTCTTATTCCCTACTTAGCAATATACCTTATACCTATTACTTTTAGGCTAAAGTTCCTTACTGTTTTAGTGAGAAGTTATCTTAATATCATATA